ATAGTGTTTTTTCTTCCCCCCCCCCCCGCCCTCTCTTGGGTTTCTTCTTTGGTTTGTTTTTTCTTGCTGTAGTTTCTTAACTTTCTTGGCTACAGAATCCTGACCTTTTCTTTGGAAATAGTCTGGCACTAGATAAATAGCTACTTGTTCTCTTACAAAATCTGACATACAGAACCAGTCAACTGGCGAACTGATTTATTAAGATAATGTAATGGTAAATAATAAAACCGTTGTTTATTAGGTTTGTTAATAGTTGCCAGTTCTGTTAGTATATCCATTGTGTTCTGTTACACATAATGAAACCCACATTAAGCGCGTTTGCACTCCTCTCATATTCTGTTTTGGATAGTACAGATCCATATGGTTCAGCTTGATTATATAAAAAAATAGCTTTTTTAACATAAGACACTTCTAGCCACTTAACTGTCTATATTTATTTTAGCATAAGTAGGAAAAACAAGTCTGAAATTGTGCAGCAATGTTTGTTTGGAAAATAGCACAGCTACCTGGATTTATTTTTCTTTGTCTCCAGGCTGCATGAAGAAGAGAGAACCTTGAAAGCATTGTCTTCAGCAAAGGCTTCTGAAAGTATAATGAATGAAGAGTCCCAGACACAAGAAGCTGTCCATAAAGCACAAGCGTTTGCTGAAGCATCTTGTGTGGGAAGTGAAGAAAGAACTCTGATAGAGAAGATGTTTGGAGGAAAATTGAAGACTACTATATGCTGTTTGAACTGCAAAAGTATGTCTCAAAAGGAAGAAGCTTTTACAGATCTCTCTCTGGCTTTCTGTCCTCCGACTTCCTTGGAGAATGTTGGCCCAAAATGTGTGGAACGTTCTGAAGTGAAGGATGACTGCGTGGTGCAAGCTAATACTTCAGCAACTAGTCTTGCTGGAGAAACACCTCTCAATAATTCGGAAGTAAATGGTGGCTGTGACACAGTAATGAATGAAGGAACCATAAAAGATTTTTCTAATGAGCCAAACTCTGAGAATACCGCAAACTCTGAACTCAACAAAGATAATGGGGATATGTCTCAGAGGCTAGTAGGTAAAAACACCTTGTCCGTTACAGACTTACTGAATTATTTTCTGGCACCTGAAATCCTTAGTGGAGACAATAAGTATTATTGTGAAAAGTGTGCCTCTCTACAGAATGCTGAGAAAACTATGCAAATCATTGAGGAACCCGAATACCTCATTCTCACTCTTTTGAGATTTTCATATGATCCAAAGTGTCATATAAGGCGCAAAATCTTGGACAATGTATCTCTGCCACTTGTTTTGGAACTGCCAGTCAAAAGAACAACATCCCCTCTAGCTGTTGTTTCGGGAGGTTGGTCTGTTGGTGTTGAGATTTCTGATATTGGAGAAAATCTTGCTAAAAAACTGAAGCCCTCAGGTGCTGATGAAGTGACCTGCCCACAATCAGTGCCCTATATGTTAAGCTCTGTGGTGGTGCATTCTGGTGTTTCCTCTGAAAGCGGACATTATTATTCATATGCTAGAAATGTTACTGGGTCGGGGCCTTCAGGACTCTGCCACCAGTCTACAGCTCTTTCTTTAGTTTCTCCTCAGGATAAATTGTTGACAGAGGAGAGTCCTTGTACTGTTGTAGAAAATGAACTGGACACTGAGATGCCAAGAGAATGGTTTCTGTTCAATGACAGCAGAGTGACATTTACCTCATTTCAGTCAGTCCAGAAAATTACCAGTAGATTTCCAAAGGACACTGCTTATGTTCTGTTTTACAAAAAGCAAAATAGCACCTGTGGCTTCAACACCAATTCAGCAAATGGACTCTGGATAAATGGAGACCCTCCCCTGCAAAAAGACCTCATGGATGCAATTACGAAAGATAACAAACTGTACTTGCAGGTAAGACAAAAATTGTATATGAAGAGTAGTCTCCTTAAAATTCACAAGAGACAGTCTAAAAGAAAGAAAAAGCTTTTAAATATTCTGGTATATTAACCTTATAAATCACCAGTCTCACTTCTATCTTGACATAGCGATGTTGCTAGACAGATTTCATAGTAAGGTTATCACCATTAGATGGAAAGTGTCAAGGAAAATGACTTAAACTCATTTCAGATTAATTTTCTAGTGGAGATGCTTACCTAGGTCTTCTAGCCCTTACAGTTTTATGCAGGAGAGGCTTTCGAACAGTTCTAATTTTTGTTGCCTTTAAGAAATTACGAGAGTAGCTGAAGTATACTTAAACTTCTTAGCAGTGTGCTTACTGAAATGTTTTCATTTGGAGTGAAGGTTTACTTGTACAATTGTGTGTACCCAAGTGCTAAAACCACTAAAATGAAGACCAAATGCTAGTGACTAGATTCCACTTTTCCTTTGCTGCGTACGTTCTCCCCAGCGCTGCCAGCTGCACGTTTCCTGTGCTCCAAGAACTTCACCTATTGTAGTCACCTCTTCGATTTCTGCTACAAAAACCCCACTGTTCTCTACATTTCAATATGGTTTGCTTTGAGTATTGCTGCAGTGATTGGAGAGTGGAACAGTAAAAGTGTGTTTTACAGTGTGCTCTTTGGTGGGGTAAGCTGTTCCTGTAAGAGGTCTAGGCCTACTCAAATTAGAAGAGTTATGTAAATTCAAATTAGAAAAGAAAGCTAAGTATCACTGTAGAAAATCTGTTACAATAGCTGCAGGTTTATTAAAAATACAAACAAGAAAACTGACAGTTTTAATTGCAACTCTGCTGCTATTTTCAGACTGTGTGATTGCTTAAAGCTGTTTGAGAACTGCTGTGTGCCTAGAACCAGTGAAAAAGTGATGCGATTTTATAAGACTTAAACTCAACTTGGTGCATATACACAAAGATTGCTTTTTGATAGTCTTCCAGCCTAAAGCTTTCTCTACAGAACATGTAGCTGAAGTTATATAAAGGGTGTGGGCATTTTCTCTTATAGTTTACAAGTGAAAGACAAGTTAGTTGTTTCTTAAAAACCTTACCTTTACAATTGAAATTAAAAAAGGAAAAAAGAAATATAGACTATATAGGAATATAGAAAAATTCCAAGTTATAGTTGTTGCTTGGGTATTAGTCATTTTGGTTTTTTCTTTAATTTATGATCTTTTACCCACCTTTCAGTTTTGGCTTCTTTGATATTGACTTTGTAGTGCTCTACTAATTTCAGAGTTGTTGAGATCCAGTCCTTTTCTCAGTTGAAACACTACTGATTAGAAATGCTCAGTTATTTTTTTCCAATTAATACTAATATTGTGGCTCACTGAATGAGGTTATTCTATTTTTGAGAAGTCATATTTCATTGTTCAGAGTTCTGTTTTCCTGTTTAGTTAAGAATATACTTTTCTGTCCTGAGAAAGCCTTTACTTATTAGAAGAAACATTCCAAAAAATCTCTAGCTCATTGCTTTTGTTTTGCTATTGCATACCGGTTTACCACGTGGTAAACTAAAATGTTTTTACTTAAAATAACAAAATCTGCAATATGGGTAGCTCCCACTCCAGTTAAAACAAATTAAAAATCCCATTCTGGTAACAAGTTTTCCACAAATTAAAAATCCCATTCTGGTAACAAGTGGAAATCAGAGGGGATGCTCTGCATTTTTTCTCAGTCCAGAGAATTGTATTGACTGTCGAGTTTTACTTACCTGAGTTGGTATTTGTTGGGATAAATATAATCACTCTGAAAACATTGAAGATTTTTTTAGAAATGAAGGATAGTTCTAGCAAAAATACCAGTGCCGTATGTTATATTAGAACAATTGAATGTAGGTTAATATTAATCAAGTCAATATATACCTTGAGAGAAGAAAGAAATGCACTTCTTTACCACAAACTACTGCTCAGAAATAAAGCATGAAGGATCTTAAACTGCTAAATAATTTCATTTGTAGCATTGAAGACACAGTGTGTGGGTTTTATTACTAATGCTCTGTCAAGAAAGTTTAACAATTGATAATTAGATCACTGCTCTACATTTCTGTTGTGTATGTCTGTGTGCGTATATGGAGAGATACTTTCCATCCATTATACAAAATGTTTTGTACTCGGGAGCCTTGAAGCTAAGGTCAAGACTGAGGTTAATCCTATTCTCAGTGCATTATGGCTGCTTCTGGACAGTATTTAAGTGGTTGACAAAAGTTGCACTTTCAGCTCATTTACACTCTATACTGAACGTGATGTGCATCACCAGAACAAGTCATGTGCAAGGTACTGAGGTGCTGCTGTTTGTGGTAGTGCTTGTCCCCTCTCTATAAGGAAGCCTAGTGACAGTAGAAGAATCATACTGGTGCTAAACAATATTGTGGAAGGCACATAATAGAAGACGTACATTAACTTATTTAGCTGCATAGCTATGCCAAAACCTCATGCTATTCAGTAACTGCAGTAAGGCAAATAAAAAATAAATCATGCTTCTAGCTACATCTGGCGAAAAATTCATAGCTGTAAGATGCGTGTTCTTTTCATCTACAACTTTCAGATTTGTATTTAATATAGCATAATCCACAAACCTATGGTTGATGCTTATAATATTTTGTAGCACAGTTTGTTAGGTAAAGCTCAACTACTGGGGTTTAAGAGGTATTAAGTTGCCAGAAAACAGTTCTCTGGAGGGATGAAATCGGAGGAGGGAGTAAGGAAAACTCCATTTTTGGTTTGGTACTGTGCTGCATTAAACCAAACATTTTTTTTCTGAAATATTTTACCCAAAAAAAGAAAAACCAACCCAGGTACAGTGTAGCAAGTCTCCCACTGTTTATTTTTGTGAAGAAATTATGTCCTAAGCTAGTCTCACACTGTTTGGTTTTGAGAAGAAATTATGTTCTAAGCTAAGCAGTTTTGCAGCGTAGTTTTTCAACTAAACAGGCTATTTATACAAGACCTGTTATTTTAATCAAAATTTTCTGTTGATTTCTTGTACTAGAAACGAGTTCTTCATATTCCCTTGTTATTGCTAGTAAATTTACTTAGGTTTTGTGTGTCTTATAGTTAGCAGATATGCGATCTCCAGCAATATGTGGATTCTTGTATAATAGTGTCCTTCAGGAACACAGCCAGCATATCTTTGTAGACAATGTCACCCAAATATCTTCCATATAATTTTTGGAAATGAGTATGCATTTCAGTCCTTAGTGTAAAAGAGTTTCAAACTTAAAGCTGTGTTTTTTTTAAGAGGGCAGAGTAATTTAACCCCCCAAGTGTTATTTTTAGCACCTGTGAAAGTACGTGGACAAGACTAAGTTTAGTGCTTTCATGGTAGTATAATACAAACAGTCTTCCAGGTTCCTGGCTCTGTTCCTTGCTTTAACCAGGAGGTGGAGAAGAAAAGGAACAATTCAAGGTGACCCGTGTAATTACTGTTAAATTTTCCTCCCACTGCCTTTAGGGAGGTATGTAGTGACGAAGTGTCATGTGAAGCAGTATGATGATGCCTTAGCCACCTGAATGCTTTCATTTTGTTTCCTAAAGAAAGAAAGGTTGTACAGGTCTGCTGGCTTTTTCTTGTCGAGTCTTCCAGAGCCTGGCATCTACCATCCCTCCCTCAGGTTTCCAAACTCTTGGCAATTTGAGAAAGGAATACTAAGGAAAGAAATTGCTGCAAGGTTAATGAAACTAGATGGCCATAGACAAAATTGTCTATATCTCTTAAAGGAGGGGGAAAGCCTGTGCTCATCCCCTTCTTCAATGCCTAAGAAGCCACAGTGGCATTCAGCTCAAAAAGCAGCTGGCAGGATGCTGTGCTTTCTGGTTCTTGCTACTTTTGCAGGTACTTTTTTTAAGGAGCTGACTCTGACTTCATGGAGTGCTTGAGAGTTCCTGGGATTTACTAATATTAAAAAAGAGTTAGCGTAGCAATAACATTTGAAAGTCAAAAAGCTGCACTGCATGGAAACTAAACAGTTTGTCCATCTTTTTGCCTCTTATCTGGGAATGTTATTACTCTACACAGTTGACTGAGTGGAATAAAAAAGTTTTTTAAATAATTAACATTGATTTAATGGTCTTACCTTTCTATTTGGCAATGGAGAGCAGGACATCTTAAAATTGCTAGGATGAAAATTCATGTGAAATGTATATCAAAACCTAAAGTTTTGTAAGCTTTTGATCAGCTGTTTAATTCTTTAGTAACATCCCATGTTGCTATGAAGTACGATTTTAGCATAAACGTAAATGGATTTAATTATGATTCAAGTATACTTAGTGATGTTCAGTGAAATTGGCCATCTCGGATTGGCTGTGGATGTTCAACTTGAAGTTCAACAAAGCCATTCATTCTTAGGAGTCCACAGGTTAGTGACGTTGCTTTAAAAACAGCTTGAAAAGCTGTTTAAAAACTCACTAGAAATAAGCTGCTTCGAGGGCTCGAGTCTTTTTTTTCTATTGTAATCGTCTTTATTCTTTCATTTCAGGAGCAAGAGCTTAGTGCTCGAACCCAAGCACTTCAAGCTGCCTCAGCCTCCTGCTCTTTCCGACCCAATGGATTTGATGACAACGACCCCCCGGGGAGTTGTGGCCCCACAGGTGGAGGAGGAGGGGGTGGGTTCAGTACTGTTGGGAGATTAGTCTTTTGACCAACGAAGACAACCTGGAATACACTGGTTCCAAAGCAGCCCAGTACTGCTGAGGACAACTATAATATTGAACTTTGTCAGCTATTGTACCAAGCTTTGAGACTCGATCCTTGTTCAAAAGCAAATGTTGGGGTGTTTTTGGTTATGTTTTATTTGAAATAAATAAGCGCATAATGGAAAAAACTACCTCTTAAAAATTCAGTTGCTTTTATGGTAAGATACACTTGCCCAAGAGACAGAAAATGGAGATTTTTAAGTAGTTGCTAATGACATTGCATTAAACTGAACCAACGCACTTACATCAGTTTCTATTGTCCTCATCCACTGAATGAAGAAAGCTCTTGTTTGTTTTTTTTTTACTCTTGACGGTATTGCTTTATGTGGAAATCCTTTTCAGATGGGCTAAACTGCATACGTAGTCTCTCACCCCCACCTTATTTTCAAATCCGGTACCTTTATGGGTTTCCAGAGATGATGCAATTTATAATGAAGGCAATAATTTAAATGTGACATGAGACGGTACTTTCCAGATTACAAATTATTCAACATATTTCCAGTGTAAATGTAAAGAAGAAAAAAAAAATAATTTATAAATATTTGCTAAGTTGTTTTCCAAAAAAGTGCATGTTCTATAGGAACAATGTTTTTAAATAGAAATTAACTTTGTAGCATTTCTAATTGTTTTGAGGATTTTAAAATTATTTCAGGGAATATATCTGCTCTGTATTGGAAAGAAAGAGATTCTGTATGTGCCTTGCAGTAATGTAACTTAAAACAAACTTTCTGAGGCTGCAGAAATGGGGAAAAATGTGTTAGCATTCAATTTTTTTTGTTTTCAGTATTTGAAATTAATATATTTATAGAAAGCTATTAGGTTTCCAGAAGTAAAAATCTGTTAGTTTGAAATGCAGTGAATTGCCCATTATTTTTTGATTAAAAAACACATACCTAGTGATCTATAATTTTTGTGGCCTGCATTGCTAAGAAAAAGCTGGTCATAAATACTGAGCTTTGTTTGTGAAATGACAGAGAGGCTACCTGTATTGATCTTTGCTGAGGATCTGTGCTTCTAAGAGTCCTTTGAAGTTTTGCCTTCTGATTTTTGCTGGTAGTGAGAAATTGCCGGTGAGTTTGGGTTTTAACTGTCTGCAGAAGACCAAAAGGATGCTGTCTGTGGAGCAGCATTTGCTTCTTAGGCCAGCAGAGGTTGAGGATGCACTCTTTTTAGTCTTGGGAGAAATAGCAACTTCGTTTTTTGATGTGCAATGAGGATGACAAGTAAATGAGTTACACTGTTGAACCTGGTGATTAATTCTTAACTTGAATAATCTTATAGTGAAGTGTAAATTTATTTAAAGTATTTTTACAAAGTTCTGCACTGTTTTACTGTGGTTTTATATTCTACTAGGTGACAAAGTGCATCCTTAATAAGCATGCAAACCTGGCAGGTGATAGCTTAACTATACAAAATAAATTTCTTAGAAAATGCCTTTTAAAAGCATAAAATAAGTTGAGAAAATTAAACCTTGTTCATATGATAACAAATATATGGAGTTTAGTCTGAAAGGTAACTTAGCTTGCAAGCTATTTTTATATTATCACTAAAACTATGCTATTTGCTCTGCTATATGTTCATATGTTACTGCTCAAGAAAGCTAGAGCAGCTCACTTTCCTTTTTTTAATAGTTTCCAAGCTTTGTTTTGACTGGTTTGTAGTACCTTGGCTTTGACCTACGCTTTCATTGCTATCTCAGTTGTAGGTCTCTGAACTGGGGGTTCAGCTGTGGAAATGTGGAATGTTATGAGACTAGTGTGAGGAACATTCTCATTTCATTGTGCTTGGACGAGGTTTTCTTGAAAGCTTACTTTCTCACTTTGCCTTGAAATTCCGTAACTTTCAGTCTAAGAGGGTTTTTTATTTCCTTTTAGGCTTCTCTGCCAGTTAGCTCTGGTTTTAAAATGTTTTATACAACAAGTTAACTTATCTTGTCTTTCCAAAATCATGAGGACACACTAAAAAGCTGTCTGCTGTTTGCATTACAATGGGAGTATTTTGTCTCTCTGTATCAACTTACTCTTCATTTTAAAACACTAGTAAGTAGAAGCAGGGGCAAGTGTTTTGACTCTATAGGAAATCATAATTTTGTAAAGGTCAGTCTTGTTTTTATGTTCTCACAGTAAAAATACAAATTATGTAGCTTACCTAAAAATAGCGTGCAGTATGAGTTTTGTATACCTATTGTACTATATTTATTTTATGAGCTCTTAGAAGGCTTTATACACCCTTGTTTGCCTGTTCTAAATTAGGTGTTAAATATGGAAATTTTATATGAGAGTAATGCCAATAGGGTTGGATCTCCTTAGGTATTAAACCATGGTATGTCTCAAACTGAAAATAACTTCTTTCTTTCCCCTTGTTGACTTCTGTTGACACAGTTACTTTTGGTTTTACAAATAGATTTTAAAATTCAGAATACATATTTGCAAGTCTGCTTGCTGACCTGTCAACCGTCGCAGGCCAATTCATACCTAACTTGGAAGGTTTCAATAAAACTAGTGAAAGTGGAGAAGTACATCTCACACTCTAAAATGTACACTGTTTTTTTCATTGTTTACAGTAATGGTGTTGCATGCTCCTATCTTCTGGACATAATATGAGAGAACAATGTACATATGGTACTTCGATTTCTGTTGCCTGTGAATGAATGCTGGATGGTTTGTTTATTGACCTTTTCGGCTCCATTCTTGATTTGTTTTCTATTGAAGTTGAATCAGTAGAAAGATACAAAATATATAATGCTGTTTCTGAAGCTTAGGTGTTTTTGTTGTTTCCTCTCATGAAGGACACTCTATTGTACCGAACTCAAGGATGGTATGTCTTTTAAAATCATATTTCCTTTTAACAAGACAGATCGTGTTTTGGTTTTGTTTCAGTGGTCAGTGGAATTGTATTAACTTTCATCCATACAGTTCATTTCTGTACAGTTTTTTCATGTGGAGCATTACAGTGGATGTCACCCATATAACAAATAATCACAGTATCTACAAGTCCGTTTATCCAGGATGAGGGGAGAAAAGGCTTCTTTGGATAACCACACAAATCACTTCTGGCTAGCTCTTTTTCCTTCCTTCCCCCTTGTCCCTCCTCACTCCCTACTCTAGAAAGTTAAATGTTTTATGTTCTGTATTCTCTGGAAGCCTAAGTTCATGGGTAAGACTGTTTTCTTTTCACCTGTAGCAGGAAGGTTGTTTAATGGAGTCAGAATGCTGGGGGTTTTTTTTTGTGCAAAGGACAGGCGAAGGGTGGAAGCACTATGAGCTAAAGGAGTACTGAACCAAAAGCAAGTGGGTATAAACTTTTTGTAAATAAGATTTAGATTAGAAACAAAGTTCCTAATTACTAGAGCTAATTCTGGAACAGCCTTCCAGGCAGAGACCTGCTTTGAAGGAAGAGCCAAATACATCTGTGAAAGAAATGAAATGCTAAGTGGTGTCTGAATAGTAGGCAACTAGACTCGACAAACCAGAGGTCCCTTCTAGTCCCTTCCTAGAGTTTTGCTCTTCTGTTGGGCTTCGCATCTTGGCACACTGCCAGTTTTGTTTTTAAGATGCTCAAAGATTAAAGTGTAAACGAAGGGAATATTAAACTATGACATAATAACAACAAAGGTTGGCTGCTTAATTTTGGGTGGTGTTGGCCTCTGATTTAGGGGTGGGGGTGATAAAAATTACAAGGCAATGGAAAGTGGAAGCTAGAAGACTTGTGATGTGAAGAAATGTGCTCAGTTTCTAACCCAGCCTAGGGTTAACAGCCTACTGTGGGATGTAATGGGCTGTAGCACCTGATAGCCTCAGTAGTCTGTAATCAAATGCAAATTATTGGACTCGTTCAATGGATGAGCAAATGATCTATCATCTAAAAAAGAGATCAGAATAGACGATCTTAAAAGCTTTCATGTTCCCTACAGCCAGTCATCATAGGTCTGCCTTAATCGGAATTCATAGCTATGAGTAATACACTCTTAAGTCACATAGGTGTCGGGTCAAATGTAACAGTTGAGAACCAAAAATAGTGTGACAGTGTTTGGCTTGTGTACAACACTGTTCTGCATGGACTTAAGAACTAGTGTGCATCCCCATTTCAGCAAGTGGCTTAAAGGGACTTGGCCTGTGAGTTTTGCTCTGGCTGTGGTCGGCGTGATCACCGTGAGGTGTAGTGTACTACTGGCTTCTACCACACACGCTTTGTATTTTTTCAAATGCACACACATCTTCCCCATTCACTGTGAGTCTTGCTTTTGCTTCAATAGAAGTATCCAAATCCAAGGGAAAACAAAACTAGCCGAAGTGAAGAAAAGATGAACGCTTTTAAATGCAAGATGCTGCTTTCTTATTTAAAGCAGAAGGATTTTTTTTCTAAGTCTGCTGGATTCTGTGCAGGTATGTGGATTCAGGATACACATCTTTCATTCCTCTTTTTCCAGTGTGGGTTATGTTTTTAGGAATCAGTTGTAAAAGTGCTGGAACAGGCATGTCAAAATGCACAACCTGCCATTGCTGCCTTGGTCAACAGCGTGCTGAAATGCTGGGATACTTGCTGGTTGGCTTCCCCAGACACTAACTGGAAAGAGCAGCTGCCACCTGTGAACTGTGCCCTGCTGGGTGGCCATTCAGGACCTTCACCATCATCTCCATCTGTGGGTGGCCAAAGACAGCCACCCTGGGGTGCTACCTCAGCATGTGTCTCTGCAAGAGGGGTCTGAGGTGTAACAGCCAGACCCACTGTTCAGGTGGGCTGAAGCTCAGGCTGGGCAATGTCCCCAACCCCTCCAGTGACACTTCCAGCGCCAGAGCAGGTTAACGGGGGTCCCCTTGCAGCCCCACAAGCAGTGTGTGGAGTGGGTGTGTGGGAAGGAGGGGTGGTGTGTGTGTGAAGGAGAAGTGCTGGTGCAAGACTACCAAACTGCAAAAAGGAAAGGATGGCTCTAATCTGATTTAGAAGCTTCATATGTTTTAATAATAATTTCACATGTATCTGCTATGGAGTCGTAACTTTAGTGTAATTCCACCGAAGAATACTCTCAACAGTGCGTTATACCCAAGCTTAATCCTTCTAAAATTTTCATTCTAACAGCATCCTTGAAGGGGGGAAAAAAAACCTCTTGGGCCATATTGAAGATGTGCTGCTGAGGAGAGTATTTCAGATTGACATTAACAAATTCATTTGGCAACAGGATGTGTTATTGGGCTAACAGCTGCAGCACCCTTGAGGCCACTGGCCTCCAAACTTTTTTTGATTGCATGCTTCTATCAGGAAAAACTCTGTGTGCACCCAGTATATGAATATCTATCTACTTATGTATGTACTACTGTCCTGATATATTATGTACATACACAAGAGTAGAAATTTTAGAAGTATGAGATAAAGATGAAATAGACGACTTTTAAAATTACTTAAAATTTTGGTTTTTAATGGTACAAAAAATAGTTTCTTCTTGCACCCAAATGGATTGTCTTGCACGTCCCCTGGGGTGCACACACTTCACTTTGAAGACTGCTCCTCTGGGTTATAGTCTTGAAAAGAGTTTTAACTTGATAAGAATAGGTATCAAAATTGACCTGTTCATAATAGTGGCTTTTCTTACTCTGTGAATATAAACAGTTGTCATTATTTTATGCTGCATGACCACGTTTTGGATCTGTGTTTATTCTAAGTTCTTAGAAAATTTGATGCAAGGGCTGTGAACTGTTTCACCATTTGTTTTCCTACCGTGTGCATTAAATAACAAAGAGGTGTCAGCCTTAAGTGGTTGCAGAGATGCAAAGCCATTCCAGTTCTGAGGGGAGGGCATAGCCCTTGCCAAACACAGGAATGTGTTAGTACTTGGCTTTAAAGGTTAGTACCGTTTTTCAACTGACTCACCCTTTTTTGAGTGTTCCCTAAAGAATTAAAATATTTAGTGCTTAACTCCTCAGGAGAAAGTTACTTGATTTTCTTGCTGTATCTTTCATGGTGTTTGTTCTACTGAACTACACTTGAAATAATTTTTGCAGTATGCATGTTCTTAAATCTTATTGTTGTAAATTGGCATAAGTGTTTAATAGTATTTCATATCGGTTTTTAAAAATGGATGGGGCAAATGAGTCTTTTACTGTACACATGTTGGGCTGCATAAAGAAGTCAAAATATGTTTTTAAATGCTTCAAAGGTATCTGAGAGTACCTACGTTTTTATGTGTTTGACCTGAGTTGTAAGATAGATGCTTTAGTAAATTATAATGGGTGGGCAAGAGGGTTGGAGTTGTAAATTATGTCTGTAAATATGAGCTTGAAGGATCTCATATGAAAATATAGAAAATAAGTGGAACAAAGAACTCCTAGTGAGCCAACTAGATCTGGAGAACCACATGCAGGCAGTAGCTGAATTTCGTGTGTATTTCAATTGCACTGATATGGCCGTGTTTCATTTGAGATGTCTTTTCCATTGGTGTTAAAGAAATCTTCAAAGAAGATGAAATGACCTTCAGCTTGTTGAATTAATAACAACATCATTGGTTAAAACGCAGCTGTTCTCAATGAACATGGAAGTTGGGGCACAGAAACATTCAGGCCTCCTGTAAATAAAGACAGAGTTCTTGAAGGCTGTTTTCAACTTTTGTGTATTTCTCCTCCAGTTTCCCTGGACTAAAAGTTGAAAGGAGGTTTTTGGGTTTGGTTGTTTTTCTTGACTACAAGAATAGCTAGGAAACTCAAACTATTAACAGGGCAGTTAATAATCTGTAAATTACTCCTGGGTGGTGAATTGTGTGAGAAGGAAGGGAAAGGTTTGGGTTGCCCTTAGAATGTGTAGTTTGAAGTTGAGTCTCCTCTAGTTGGCTGCCCACACCTCCCTCTGGCATTAGAAACAGTTGCCTTCATGTGGTCTCGGGATTAAGCTTGGTGCTGCCTGTGAGGAGAACATCGTGGGAACCTCCCCTTCATCCAAGACCTGTTCAGGCTAATTGAAAGAATTATTCTTGACCTGAGCTGTTCCAGTTTTGCTTGAAGTAACTTAAACCTGTCAAGGTAAAGGACAGATCAAGCTTTAATATAATAAAGGACCTAATCGTAACTTTTTTTTAAACAATAAATGTTTTAGCTCCAGTAGGAGTTGCCAGTCCTCTGATATGCTAGTTCTTTGCTGTGCTTTAAAATCCTGGGGCTACAAGAAGTGTTTCCTACTGATGAGGCCAAGAAAACAGCAGCTACGCAGGATTCCTTGGAGAAGGGAACTGGCTGCAGTATAAACAAGCAACTAGGTGGGTGATTGCATCATTTGGGTTGGTCTGATGTATTTCACATCTGGGGATTGGTGCGAATGAAGACTTGTGAGGACAAAAAGTAATATGAATCTGAGGACGCGGAATAGAAAGCAAACAGGCCTCAAGTGGTTAATTTCTTAATAATTTCTTAAAAGCAGTTACTAATGTTTCTGCAGAAGGGCTGGTTGCTGGAATGGGATCCTAGGTCATGTCAGGGGGATCTCACGTGGCAGACTACGAGAGAACTGCTGCTCCCAGCCTTTCCAAGGGTGTGTTGAGGTGGAAGGCATGTAGGGAAAGACTAAGATGTTATTCGTACACTAGGCCTGAAATGCAGAAACTTAAGTGTAGTCATAGATGAAGAGCACTTCCTTTATGGCAGGTATGGAGGAACGGAGTATTTCTTTCTGAAACATCTCATTTTCTTGGGAGCACATCTTGTACATGGTGGTCAGTTGTAGACGCATAGCTTAAGCCACAAGCTGGAAGAAGCTTCAAGTTTAGAGCAAGTTTGTAACTGCCTATTTGAAAAGGCTGCTTTTAAACTCCAGTGGCTTTCATCTTCCCCAGCGCATGTTCTGGGAGGGGGAGAGAAAGCTCAGCTT